TTTATGGTAGAGTCAGGGACAGGCAGCACACCTGCGTTCCCAGGGCATCAAAGGCTGACTGCCTTTCTCTTGCTCTCTGGGGGGGGGCGGAAACCAAGATGGGGTTCGTGTCTGGCTACACCCTCCCAGACCCTGCACCCCAATTTCCTGACCTAGGTCACAATACTCTCCTGACCTAGGTCACAACCCAAACCCATGCACTCCAATCCCATGCCCCAGGTCACAACTGCCTCCTTCACCCAAACATCACAGGGCTTCTGCATCCCAATCCCTTACCCCAAGCTCCTTTCTGCATCCAACCTCCATCCCAGACCCTGCACCTCCTCCATTAATATCACGGAAGAGTGTGGCCCTCAACCACTTTCCAAAATCTAGAAGTGGCCCTCCCATCAAAAATAATTGCTCACCCCTGATCTAGATAGTACTTGGTCCTGCCATGAGTGCAGGGGACTGGACTTGATGACTTCTCAAGGTCCTTTCCAGTTTCAATGTTGTATCATTTAATTATTCTATTCTAGCCAATATGCACAAGGAGCTGGCTGCCTGCCCTCTTTGCTGCCTCCCACAGAGGCAATGTGGGGGGGGAGCAGGCAGGAGCAGGCTTAAAAATCAGCTGTGCAGAAGCACGGACACTGCAGCACAGCCTCCCCTTCCTTCCCTCCCCACTCCCCACACGGCTATATCTGTATCAGAGGCAGCAATGCAGCAGAGGGAGGGAAGGTGGGATGCTGGCACCACCACTGTTCATGAGGAGTTTATGGGGAACTCACAGACAGAGGCTGCAGCCACTCCATACCGCTGTCCCAGCTGCCAGCGTGGAGCGACAGGAGGAAGCAGGCCTGTGCAGGAGCTGATTTTAAAACTAGCTCCCTTTGCAGACCAGCTCCCGCCTGCTACCTGTGCTGCCCCACCCCCAGGGACAATCAAATAATCATGTAACTGATAAGATTTGGTGCAGTTGCACGATTACTAAATTAAGCAACATCTAACATCCCTACTCTAGACCCCTGATTTTTTACTATAAAATCTCTACCTTAACACAACATAAGTTAGTGTAATTCTGTATTTATTTTTGCTGTGTCTGCTGCTTTTAGTGGATAAAAATGAATCAGCCCCAGCATGCCATGCCACTATGATAGTACAACATATTTCCCCTGATTCAGGGTATGTGTTTGTGTCTGTCTGTGAAAAGGAAGCAAGATTAGAAATAGGGGAAATTTCTATTGTATTCTATTCAGTGGCAGTATTGAATCATAGAATAGTCATGGAAAAGCTCCGACAATGCAAGGTCTTCAGGGATGCCTACTGAAGATAGTTCTGTACTGTGTGCCACTGATAATATTTTCCTCTCCACCTAATTCTTGCATGTGTTTTGGGGGCAAAAGGGAATATCTGCAGTTTTCCTTTTCACTGCCATTAATTCAGTGCATGGTGCAGCGGCTATGTAGCTTTTAGTATTCAAAGTCCCTCTTGAAGAGAAGGAAAACTGCTTCCTCACTGAACAGGGCTCCAGGAAGCCACGTGATAAATGCTGTGTGTGTCTCCCTACCATTGTAATATTTTTGTTATGAAGCTGCACCATCCTATCAGCATCTCTGCACCATCCTTTATCAGTGAAATAGCATAACAAAATATTTTGCAACATGTGCACTGATGGTGCAAGGTACCAACAACCCTCTTCTGTAGTGAGTCCCTCAGGCAGTCAGAGCTGCCCCCAAAAGTGGTGGCTCTAGCTGGGCAGGTGGAGTAGCCTGTGCTTTTGAGGCATTGCCTAGGTGGATCCCCTGCCCAGATGCCACCAGTGGCACTCCTATGGAGCTGCTGGCAGGGCGGTGGTAGAAAGTTCCACCTTCCTCCTCTGGGTGTGAATCTGCCCTCTGGTCACCTTTAGTAGCACAAGGGGTTGAAGTTCAAATCCCAGCACCAGAGGGGAAATGTGCAACATCTTCTTCCTTCTCTCTCCCCTTCATGGCTCTCAGGGGTGAGTTGTCCCCCCACCCCTGCCCCGCCCACCTTTCATGGCTGGTGGAGGGATAGGGAATGTTGCCAGTAACTCCCGTATGTTTGCTCAGATGGGTGTTCAATTTAGTGAGTACACCTCATCCTGATTAACACTAATGAGAATTTAATTCAGCCACTGAGGGGAGATTAAACTCCAAAACTCAGTCTGGCAATCAGCCACCATTCCCCATCTGCTCATGTTGACCCTGCTGTCATTCCTTTATCTAATATTTATGTTTAACAGGCACTTTATGGCACCACATCAGAAACTGCTGTTTGGCGGCGCTGTGCAAACTATGTCAACGGCAATATGGAAACTGTGGTGGGCCGACTGTATGTTGAGGAAGCATTTGCTGGAAACAGTAAATACGTGGTAATGTTTTCAATTCACTTAACTTGTCCACCATTTAAGTGGTTAAGTTTGCTAGATGATGATGTAGTAGAAATTCGCTTCAAATTAGAGTTGTAGAAACCAATTATTGCTGATGTCATTCATTACATTCCACTGCAGATGCCTAGGGCAATTTTCATCTTGGAATGCTTGCAGCTGCTCCAGCTGACATAAATGGGAGCTGCAACGCTCTTTCATCCAGTGTCAGAATTTGTTCCTTGAAAGTATAATAGCTCTTTTTCACCCCGACACTATTGGCTACCAAAGGCTAGATCAGAAAAAGGAGAAGCAAGCTTGTCAGTGCAAGAGAATCTTTGCGTTATCTGACAAACATTACACAGTAGATCATCATGTAGTATTGCTCTTCTCACATTTCTAAGCAGATAGATTTAATCCCCCACCCAGTATAGAGGCAAGACTAATTGCAAACTTACAAAATGGCATTTCCCAGATTCAGATGTTTTTAAGATTGGGTTGAACACAGAGAAGAAAACGCTACTCAGCAATATGCTGGGAAGCACTCTATGGTGATGGGATTATGTACCTTCTCTAGGACAGTAAGACAAGCAATTAGCAAATGATGCTAAGAGTAGATGTCAGTGAAGGTTAGGAACAGCCATTGTAAACTACAGCTGACAAAGTCATAACTTAGAAAAGATTACACAGCAAGGCCCTGAATTTGATTACCTTTTCAGAAAACAAACTGTTTTACATCAATTTAATTAACATAAATTGATTAATTAAATGTTTATGTAAATGATTTAGTAAAGTATATTTTCTCAGTGAAAGGAAGGTGAATTTATTTATTTAAAACAGTATTTTATTACAGCTAATGGTTATCATTACAGGGTTTCTGTCTAATCATAAATTTGGTAGGATCACTCACTATAACCTATTCTCAAATAATTATTGCTGCAGTAAATAGTAGCAACTTAAAAACTCTTAATTATTTAAGTAACAACAGTATTTATTATAATTAACACTTTCCACTTGAAAACTTTGCTTCCTGAGAAAATTAACCTTACGATTTCTTTTTGGTTGTTACTCAATTAATATTCCATTTGAGTATGAATAAGAATGTAGAAAACAGATTATGATTAAGGAAAAAATAATTAGATAGTCTTACTGTATTGTAATTTTTTTCTCAGGTTCAAGAAATGATTGCACAAATTCGAGATGTTTTTATAAAAACGTTAGATGAACTCACCTGGATGGATGCAGAAACCAAAAAGAAAGCAGAACAAAAAGTAAGTGAAAAAAACAAGTTATAATTTGTTTTATAGCCCCGTTGTAAAGAGACCTGTAACTGTTAAATTCACCAAAAAAATCTAATCAGTCTTGCTACTGCATTTATCTTCTATTACTTTAGTTAGATCAGAATAACAACAATCAAATTGGTAAAATGTGGGATTCCTTGTTTAAAAACTACATCCAACTGCATTTTAGTCTCAAGGTCCTTTTCCAGTCAATACAGCTGGTAAGACTCAGACTCTACCACACAGAATTTTTCCAGATCTTAAAAGTGTATCAATCACACATCATAGAGTTTTTAAAGCTTCACATACCACCGTCACAGTTTTCAGATTCGATGGTAATGTCTGATGAGGAAAGGTTAAAAGAAATAAATGTACATAGTTCAACTAATCCATGGGGTCACAATGACCCTGCCTTTCCCATATTGCTGAATAGAAGCAGATCTCAGTTTAGTCCTGATTACATCGGAGGGGGCTCTGGGCAAATCCTGGCACGGAAAAGGTTGAGGACCTTTCGATCCGTGGACAGAAAAGGTTGAGAACCACTGAGCCAAGCTGTGACAAAAAAGGGAGTGAGTATGGGGACATCTACACCTCGTTATGCCTTGTGGGATGAGGTTTACCGGGGAGGTCGACAAATGCCTTTGATGTTGACCACGGAGCGTCCAGACTACAGCGCTGTGCCAACAAACAGCTGATCGGCACAACGTGGCAGCCATTTTAATTTAAATGAAGTGGTGATTATTTAAATTGCCGCTTCATTTTCCTATGTCTACAAAGGTAATCTACACGGCTCCGTCAACGGAGCCATGTAGTGTAGATGTGTAACGTTACAGATATTGTACTTGAAAGGTATAAAGACCCAGATGGAAAGGAATGATTCACTGGGCTAAATGACTGTAGGAGTAACAGGATGGAATTAAGGAATCATTAGGCTGAATATTCTGAAAAACTCCTGGACAGTGAGATCTGTAGAACAGTCTTCTAAGGGTACTGATAAAGTTCTATTGCTTTAGACATTTAAAACTAGGTTGAATTAAACACTAAACAGACTATAGGAGGCTACCCTTAATTGGCAGGGGAGATAACTAAATGGAACAATAGCTACAGTGGTCAATCCTCTGGGCCACCTAGCCCAGTATCCTGTCTTCTAACAGTGCTAGATACTTCAGAGGGAACAAATAGAACAGGACAATTTAATGAGTGATCCATCCCGTTGTTCAGTCCCAGGTTCTGGCAGTCTGATATTTAAGGCTCAGCATTGTGTTGTCTGGAGCATTGTGTTGTACCCATGATTATCTTGGCTAATGGTCATGGATGGACCTCTCCTCCATGGACTTACGGAATTCTTTTTTGAGCCCAGTTATCCTTTGGCCATAACAACATCCTCTGGCAAGAAGGTCAACATGTTGACTGTGCATGGTGTGAAAAAATGCTTCTTTATTGTGAGTGTCCAAGATGAGGACAGTCTTATATAGTGGCCAGTGCAGGCAATCTAGCCTAACGGCATAATCAGGAGCCAGAGCTGAGGGTCAAATGAGGTCAGGAACTGAAATGAGCCAAGTAGCAGGTAAAGAGAGGTTCAAGGCAGGAGGAGGATGGAAGCAAGGCTAGTGCAAACATAAGCTGTCATATGGGGGAGGAGGGTAGAACAACAAGATCTCTGAGAAGCCAGCAAGCTACTGTGGCTAGCTTAAAAACCAGCCTGCTGGCTTCCCCAGCCAATCAGGTAGTGTGGCTAATCAGGCAGCCTTCTGCCAGCCAGCTGTCCTGATGAAGCTGCTTCCAAACTAGCTTTGATGTGGTCCCTAATTCCTGACACTTAACATTAGTTTCAAACCTGCTCATTATTAATTTCCTTGGGTGAGTCTGGTTCTTCTGTTATGTGATGGGGTCAATAACAATTTTCCTTATTCATTTTTTCCACGGCATCCATGATGTTATAGACCACTATCATATCTGTCCTTAGTCAACTCTTTTTCTAAGCTGAACAGTCTCAGTCTTTTATTCTCTCCTCAGACGGAAGCTGCTCTGTATCCCTAATCATCGTTGTTGTCGCTCTCTGCACCTTTTCTAATTCTAACGTATCTTTTTTGAGACAGATTGACTAAAAATGTACAAAATACTTGTGGTATGAGCATACCAGGGATTTATACAGTAGTGATCTGATATTTTATGTCTTATCTGTCCCTTTCCTAATGGTTCCTAACATTCTATTTGCATTTTTGACTGCTGCTTTGTGTTTACAGAGAACTACCCAGAGTGACTCCAAAGTCTTTTTGAGTGGTAACAGCTAATTTAGACGGCTTCATTTCGTATGCATAGTTGGGAATATGTGTATTACTTTCCATGTATCAATAATATTTTAGAGCTAGTTGAATTTTTCCTAATTTTGAGTTTTTGAAAGACATTTTTCATCAAATTCTGCCTCCATTTTTTAAAAAAATCCCTGACAATGTTGGGATTTTTCTAACTACAGTTGAACTGAACTGGTCAATTTTTTTAACACATAACATTTTGACAGTTTTCCAAAAAAACCTGAAAAATTCTTGGTCATGTATTCCTGTTTTTTCCTCTTGCTCTACACTCTGCAACATATAAAATAACAGTGTTACTACAACATTAAAGCAGGAGGTTCAAAGCTAGTGTTCCCCAATGAGTTTAACCATGTTTCCCTGCACATTTTGCTTTACATTACTGTCTTTCATTACATGCTTATGCAATGTAGATGCAACAATACAATGTTATATTTATGTACCTCCATGGTCAATAACGAATAATCAGTTACAATCTATATCAACAGTTCAACAATGAAGTAGGTTGGGTGGGTCCAAGAATATTCTTTTAATCAATGTAGTGTACTAAAAACCTATAGTACCCTCTGTGCTGTAATTAGTTATGGATATTATATATATACTCAGCCTCTCCAACCTAAGAAATGTTTGCATGACTGTGGAGATTCAAATGGATGAGCCTTTCACTAACATCATTGCATTTCAAACAAACTAATTAGTATCAGATTCCCAAATGTACTGAGATGAATTACTTATATTGCTATGAATTACTTATATTGCTTATTTCCCAGAATCAGAGCATGACTTACAGACATAGCAGTTAAACTGATGTAACAATTAAATTCATTGTGGGATTTGTATATTAAAAATGTCAGAAAGGGTTGCCAAGAAAGCCTTTACTACCATGAGGGTTTCTATTGCTTCTGGCATCAAATAAAAAAACAACTGCTCAGTTACCCAAAGTAATGGACAGTGAATGGGTCTGGGCTGAAAAGCTCGGACCTGGCTTTAAAACAAACCCCTCAATGTACAGTGTGTTCAAATCGAGGGATTTGGTTGAGTTGATGTAGATATAGAAGCCTGCTCAGAAATTTGGATTCAGGTTCAGAAGATTTCTACCTACAAAGGTTTGGGTGTGTTCTGACTCAGGGCTTCAATTTGATCCCATCTCTTCATATAATGAACTCATCCCTGCAGGTGTTAACAAGGTCATTTTGTCTGCTTTGTGTTGAGTGGCACAAATTACAATCATGAATTTAATTTCTGTCTTATAGAAATATCAAATACAATAGGAAAACCTTCCAATCACTGAAATAAATATTCCATTTGAAACTGCTTCTGAGATGTGGGATCTGGCTATGGCATATAGTTTTTCAGAAAAAAACATATGCTAGCATTTCTGTTGAGAGGGGCACATTTTCTGAATTCTTTTAGAGTCATAAAGTAATTAATCATTGGACTTTACAGTCCTGCAGCATAAAAGAAAAGAAAAGAAAAAAATCTCAACAAAATCTAGATACAATGAGCTTGAAGGCTCCTACACAGGTATTTCCAAATAGGTGCCTGTAAAAGCTGATATATTACTAGGATCTGATAATCTCTAAGGTATATCTGTACAGTATTTGGATTGGCATATAATAAAGAAACAATTTAAATATTATTTTGTCCTTTAGGCTACAGCTATTAGAGAGAGAATTGGCTATCCAGATGAAATAATGACTGATAACAACAAGCTGAATAATGAATACCAAGATGTAAGTATCCATAAAATTGTCTTGCAAACAATGATTAGAAAAGACTCTTAAGAACTAGACTGTGATTGTATTACATGCCTATACAGGGATATACAATGTAAGATTTCACCTCTACTCAGGCTACCTAGATCTTGAGTTCAAATGGGCATGAGTTGAAGAGTATGGGTTGCATTTAGGTGCTGCGTTTTCTACCGTCCATATGCAATGTGGCACAGATGGCTGATCCAGCATGGGTACTAGAGTAATTTGCTGCTGTCATACTCCAAGACATGCTCATGGATGGTGCATAGGTGCAGATTCCAATGGAGTTATAGCAGCATAGAATTGCGCTAGTGCCAAGGTGAATCAGGCCCAGTATTTCCACTAACTGTGTGCGAGTTAAACACACCTGTTTTTAAGTTACTGTAGCTTCATGGAATTCAAAGAAGTTGAACCTATTTAGAGTTGAATTTGACCCTTCATTTTTGACCCTGTCTTCAAGTCACTTAAGGTAAACTGTATCTCAGGATGTCTGTTTGCAAAGTGTGGCTCATAATTCTCTTCTACCTTGCCGGGGTATTGTGAGAGTAACTTTCATTAAAGTATGTAAAGCATGTTGAACTCCTCAGATAGAAGGTGATGTTGGAGAGTAAAGTGGTGTTAATATTATTAAAGAAAAGAAAGAGACTCATATTAAAATTCTGCATATCTTGTTAAAATAAACTAAGGGCCTGACCTGGCACACATACTCATGGGCTGTGTCTACCTTGGCACCCTTTTCCGGAAAAGGGATGCTAATGAGACCAGTCGGAATTGCAAAAGCCATGGGGGATTTAAATATCCCCCGCGGCACTTGCATGAACATGGCTGCCGCTTTTTTTCCGTCTCGGGGCTCTGCCGGAGAAAAGCGCCAGTCTAGATGGGATCTTGAGGAAAATAAAGCCTTTTCCGGAAGATCCCCTATTCCTACTTATTCAACTTGCCAGTCTAGACACAGCCAGTCTCTCTTGTTACGCTCAAGTAACAAAATTGTAATATCATTTTTCTTTTCTTTCACCTTTTTTTAGCTGAACTACAAAGAGGAAGAGTACTTTGAGAACATCATTCAAAATTTGTTATTTAGCCAAAGGAAGCGACTGAAGAAACTCAGAGAAAAGGTGGACAAGGAAGAGTATGTATTTTAAATGTCAAGTGTGTTTAAAGTAAATCATAACTGGCTTTTAGTTAAGGGCCTGGGATTGGCCGTACTTCATCTACACTCCTTCTCACCTGCACTCCCCTTTTCATTAGGGCTCAGTTCCACGGAGAACTGTGCCCTAGTGAAATTAGTTTGTTACCATTGCTGAGCATTGGGCAAATTTCTCCACACTATGGGTGCATCTACACTGCACTGCAGGTCGAAATAAGATTCACAATTTGAGCTACGCAAATTGCATATTTTATTTCGAGTTAATTTTGAAATCGCTTACTTCAAAATTTGGCACTATATCCCGAAATAGCATTGCAGTGTGGCTGTAGCCTATGTGATCACTATACTTACATATCCTGAACACAGTGAAAACTAAGTGTTAGCACTTGGACTTGTTTGTTAATCCTAAGTCAGCACAGATGTTATTGAGGATTTATCTTCTCTAGATGTGCTCTCATTAACTGGTGTGTGAAGATAGATATAATTTCAGGAAGAATCAGGTGCCTGAATGTCTAGCAAAACAAGCAAGGTGATTGCATTTATTTAGGTAAAGTGGAAGAATGCTTCATGCATATTGGTAAGTTTTTTGGGAACTTGATCTTGTGAAGTACTGAGTTGAGAATGATACCAGAATAACTGTTTAGGGGCACTGAAATACAATGCAGTTATATTACAAATGCAATCCATTATGTATACATTTACCTTCTAAATATGATCTGGCTGTGAGGCACAGTGAAATCAAGGTTTGTCAACTTAGTTATGCAGAATATGGCATTTAATGACTATACACAGCTTTTGTAAATCTTATAAGAAGTCAGAAAAAGGAATCGGACAAACACTTTAGGTTGGATCTACACCTAAGACTTAGGTTGACTTAGCTACATTGCTCACAGGGTGTGAAAAATTAACACCCTGAGAGATGTACTTAACCTTACTTAAGGCCCAGTATAGCCATCACAAGGTCAAAGAAAGAATTCTTCCAGTGATGGCTAGCTACTGCCTCTCAAGGGGCTGGATTTATGACAGGAACAGAAAACCCATTCCATCGCTACAGTAAGTATCTGTACTATAGAGTGGTGTAGCTGAAGTGCTCCTGCTGCTCCCCCCATAGCACTTATAATGTAGATATACCCTTGGAAGTAGAGAAACTAATACAAGTTGTACCTCCCTAAAACAGAACTCTCTGGCCAGCAACATCTGAGGTCCTGCCAGACCACTGATGTTCCTGGACCACAGAGCCCAGGAACAAGGAGGTTTGATGGCGGGGCAGGAGTGTGGCGGGGGGGTGGGGTGGAGCAGGACAGTGACTTAGCCAAGAGCCATATGTCAGGGAGGCAGGTAGCACAGTGGGGAGTTCTGGCCCTTGCAGCTGGGTGGCAGCAGGGCCAGAAGCAGCCATGGATTTCCAGCTCTGGCAATAGCCAGGGGAACTCTGGCCCCAGCCCTGGCCAGGTAGCTCCAGCACTTGCAGCAGCAGTGCTGGCAGCTGGTGGAGTGTTAGCCCAGGGGCATCAGGGCAGAATGGGACATGAGGGGAGGGACCTCCCCTGGTCAGGCAAATCCCCTCATTCAGGAATGGTCAGGTCCCAAGGGTGTAGGATGTGTATAAATAAAGCTAAACAGTGGATATGGCCCTAAATGGTCATGGCAGCCTCCTTTCATCCTGAAGTAGTATTATGATACTTCACTTAGGTCATAATTTAGTGAGCTAGCTTGTAACTACTACAGACTAAAAGCTGTTGATCTAAACATTTACATCTATGCAACTGTCTGAGGTCAGCTAACCAGTACATTTGTTCATAGCCCTCTCCAGCTGGCTCTCTTGCATTGTTCTGTCACCCACTTCTTTTATTATAGTTTTGTTTTCACTCCACTTTTACAATGCAGTGCCCGCTTATCCAGTTCTCTCGCCTGGGCTCCCCTAAACTCGGCTTTCACTAGCATATCTTGAAGGTACAATTTCATTTCAGCCATTAGCTTTAAAAATGTTCCTTGTCCATCCTCTGAGAAAGAAAGTACCTGTTGTGGACTGGATTCAGAGGATGTGATTCACTGGCTGATGCTTCTTCTTGTTTCAGACCAGAGCAAAGTTGCTGACATTTTTTGTAAATTTTATTTTGTGTTTTCTGATTTAAAGAAACTGCCTAATGCATCTTCAAATTCTTGGTTTTCTCACCCGTTGTGAGATACTGTAATATACTTCATGACTATTTGACCAGACCTGTTCCCTGCTGGTATACGAGGGCTGTTCCACCACTATCTATGGTATAGTGTGTGTGGGGGGGGGGAGGGGAATACATAATTTAAAATGGCTGGGGTGCATTT